ACGCTGTCATATAGGCAATTCATTTACTCATTGATCTCTACATTTTGTGAATATTACTAAAATTTATCTTAGCTGTCTCACAGAATTCTAAAAGTTCAGTCTGTCGTATTAGCATTTTGCACCTACTGAGAACCATTAACTCTATCTCCATCAAACAGCTGGCGTAGTCTTAGTCTTCCTCCGTCGTTTTGATGGAAGTTGTTATACATTACACATTTTTAATTGTCAGTGATTATTGAAAATATATGGCAAGACAATCATTATATATTGTCGGAAAAAGCAAAACGGGTTCTTAGGTTTTAATTAAAGTTAAAAGAAAATTTATTTTTTCCAAATAATTTTGGTCCATTTCTGCTGGTCCATTCATCACGAAATTCTCATCTGCTGATTTTAATTTATGCAGGGAAGAAAGAAAAATGACAAAAATGGAGACTTGACATTTTGTCCTGACACTGATGACAGACAGATCCCCACTTGCACTTTGTAAAAATGTGTGACCCCAGTATGCTGTTCATAAACAAGTATATTTCCATCCCTTAGGTCAGGCATGTCAAACTGGGAACCTTCCAGGCCAAAGTGCTGCGAAGATTAGCGTTTACCCTCATCTAACGCTCTGAATTCAGTTTATGAAGTCCCTGCTAATTAGCTGATGAGACGAATCGGGTGTGTTTGATGAGGCAGCATGCTGAAGCAGTGTTTTGGCCCACAAGGACTGGAGTTTGACGCATGTGCCTTAGGTTATTAGTAATTGTGTTTCATTCAGTGAATGACAGGATAAAGTTAGTGGTAGCTTGTATATTCTTTACTCTACATGACACTACTATTGAGCTTCAGGTGACAGACACCAAACCCATCAAACCAAGGGCAAGTACAATTTATGCTCTAACATCAAACATTTGAAGTTCATTAGACGTATTTTATATGTTTGGACATTAGACAAGAGGAAGACATGACCTTTAAACATGCGTGATGGAGAATAACATAAGTAACACTTCACTGAGGTCTGTGTTCTTAAGGTTATATGACAACACTTTCATGACAAATGACATAAACCGACAGAGATGTTTATAAAGGCTGTGTCTATTTTAAGTGACATCAGTCCTGATATCATGCCAGGTTGAAATGACGTAGCACATTATAATAACTGGCATAATGCTGAAGAAAAAAGTGGACAAAGGTGAGCATTTCCAAAAGATGTTCTGCAGTTCATTAAGACTGATTCCAGCTAGAATCGACTGTCATAAAAGCTTTTTTGTCAATGCAAATGCAAAGCTGACATAACACTTACACAAAGCCTTTTTTGTTGATATAAGGTTATGATACTGGATTAGAGTGACATGACAACTGATTCTGTAGTTCTTTGTATTTCTGGTATATCAGAGTAACGTTACTTATGATCTACATTGCCAAGTGAGACTACTTGGAAAGTTGATGGCATTGGCATCACCATGGAGAACATATCAACTGCAATATAAAGTTTTATTTAAAAATGAATGTCTCTGTGGAGTGCATCCGCTCGGTGTTCGGGCCCTGCTTTCCTGCAGGCTTTCGCGGCTGTCATCAGGGCCCGAACACCAAGCGGTGACGAACCCTGGCGAGGACGGCGGAAAGAGAGCCGCGAGTGAGTGGGGAACGGTGCGCAAATCCCGACCACCGCCGAGGGACGCGAGTAACGGCGGGAGGAGGTTGTCAGCTGCAAGAGAGGGAACGACGACGGCCACAAGAGGCACAAAAGCGGGAAGCGAGTCCTGAGTTCCGCCTTCTCGTCACCACCCCCACACCGCAGCCCATCCGTCTGGATCGGACGTCAGGTGGAGTGGAGCGGCCTCTCTCCGGAACAGGGGGTGGGGCCCGGACGGCAGAGCTTGGGACTCGCTTCCCTCAGCGGAGGTCGGGATTTGCACACCGTTCCCCACTCACTCGCGGCTCTCTCTCCGCCGCCCACGCCAGAGTTTGTCACCACTTGGTGTTCGGGCCCCGCCTTCCTGAAGGCTCTCGCGGCCGTCATCAGGGCCCAAGGAACAGGCACATGCCGCAGTCTCTCATTACAATAATTTTATAGTGTGTCACTATAATGTTATACATTTCTTACCCAAATACAAAACTAAGCTGTAATAAGAGAAGCCAGTCATTTAGACGATCAAGATTCGGAATGGTCACAGAGTGGGAAAGCTGTGGGACTCTTTTTGAGGACACTGAGTGGGAGATATCTGTTAACTATAGCAGAAATGCCAGTGAAATTACTAAGACTGTAATGGACTGTGTGTCCAACAACTAAGCATGGTGTCTAAAGAAGTAAACAGTACAAATGGCCACAAAGAATATTTTTAAGAATTATTTTATTTCACTGGCAATTTTTTAATGAAGTCATCCATTTTTTGTGTTGTCATGTTCTGTGTTGCATGTGCTGTGTTTGCGGGAGTGTGTATGTATTTTGTATTGTGATGCAGCCGTCATGAAGCCAAAGGCACATTTCCGGAAATTGACAATAAACCTACCTACTCTACCTACCTACCTACCTCTGTCTATCTATCTGTCTGGGATATGATTGCCATAAGTATCATAAGTATTATGTCAGCATTATGCTACTGTCATTTATGTACTTTTAACCCAGCAAGTGTCTAATCAGGACCTTATGGAAGTGGTATCCAATCTTATCCTCAAGGGTCCAACGTGGCTTCATGTCTTCATTCCAAACAAGCTGGAGCTTGTCCAATTCCACTTGTTAAAATAATTGGTCTCAGTCTTCACACAACTGAACAGGTGAGCTCCTCTAGCTACAGTGGCCCTCTGTGGATAAGATTGGACACTCCTGCCTTATGTCAATGTGACATCAGAAGGGTCATTCAACACCTTCTCATCTAGAGCACCAAAGCTTCCTATGAAAAGTTCAAGCAAAAACACCTTTTTTATTTATGAAAAGGTCATGTAAAATTAAAAAGATGGGGTCCAAATACTTTCTTAGTTATCATTCATAAAACTTTGCTCTATTAGGTTCCAAATCCTAAATATTGATCTCAATCTTAAATGTAACTGTTTACAGAATGTGAAAAAACAGAGTGAAATTGTTAATCGTTAAAATTTAAACTTCGTCATTTTTCGTAATTATTTTTTGAAAAGTAAAGTTTCCTGCATTTCTATCCAATTTCTTTATGCAGTATTTTTAAGCTAAACAACAAATTTAAAATGGTTTCACAATTAAAAAAAAACATTTTTCAGGCCCAATATGTCTTATTAAGTAAAAACTTTCAGCTGTACCTAAATATATTCAAATGAAACCAGTTTATTTAGTTTTTTTTTATCATATCATTATTATTATTATTATTATTATTATTATTATTATTATTATTTCCTGGATGTTTGCCAGTCAAGAGACATTGTGATTGGTTAATGTCTTGCCCAACCTCCAATGCTAATCACCTCTTGGTGCTGAGATGATGTCGAACTGGAGCTTTTCTATTGGTGAACTGTTGTTGCTTTCGTAAAAAACGGACGTATAAAAGCCACCATGAAGCAGTGTAGAAGGTTCATCTATTGGACTCTGCTAGATACAAATGTCATGTACTAGACTAAAATATTTAATATCATTTATTCTAACTGTTGATGCCTGAATTTTGCATTTCTTTGATATTTGTGTGCTGTTTTTATATCACCTGGAAAGCTTTCTGCATTTTGAAGAAGGACGCTCTCTGAATGGCTTGGATGGACACTCTGTTCATGAATAAAACTGATGTGGAGAATGTGCTTCTCTGCTTCCCTCACCAGCCGGACTCTTGCGCCAGCAAGAATCGCTTCCTGGTGCTCAGAGTGACCATGTACATCTGCATGCTGGTGGCTATCCTCATGACTGTCTTTGGAAACCTGCTTGTCATCATTTCCATTTCCCACTTTAAACAGCTGCATTCTCCAACTAACTTCATCATCCTCTCTTTAGCTTGGGTGGACTGTTTGTTGGGCTGTCTGGTCATGCCCTTCAGTATGGTGAGATGGGTGGAAGGCTGCTGGTTCTTGGGTGAACTCTTTTGTCAAATTCATTCTAGTTTGGACATGACATTGAGCATTGCCTCAATTCTCCACCTGTGTTTGGTATCCATTGATCGATATGTGGCCATTTGTGACCCTCTGAGTTACAGAATGAAGGTGACAAATGCCAATGTGGCTGTGTGCATCGCAGTCATTTGGCTGTTTTCATGCGTGTTTAGCTTTGGGATTGTGTTTTCAAAGGTAAATATTATGGGGCTGGATGAACACATGCTAAACTCCTGTGTGGGAAACTGTGCTTTGATTTTTAATAAGGAATGGGGTGTTATTGCGCCACTTCTTAACTTTTACATTCCAGGAACTATAATGAGCTGCCTCTACCTTAAAATCTTCCATGTTGCAAGAAGACAAGCAAAAGTAATATCTGATAGAACAGCTGTGATGACGTCAGGTGAGAAAAGCCAAGTGTCGGAGCAGAGGGAGAGAAAGGCAGCTAAGACTCTGGGCATTGTAATGGGGGTTTTCCTGCTGTGCTGGCTGCCGTTTTTCCTCACCACTGTAATCGATCCGTTCCTTGGCTTCTCAACTCCTATTGATGTATTTGATGCCTTGGTGTGGTTTGGCTATTTCAATTCCATGTTCAACCCTCTGATCTACGGCTTTTTCTATCCACGCTTCCAGAAAGCATTTAAGATTATCATATTAAGATATGTTTGTCACTTGACAAATTCAAACTTAGTACTTCAATAATTCTGCAAAGCAAATATCTCTAAGGGCGGAATAACGTGCAATAACATAAATGTCAATTGTGTTATTATCATTATTGTTATATCGTTCCTGTATTCAGATTTCTGGAAATTTCAGAAAACTGGACATTCATGAGGTGCTATACAGTACAATCTGATAAAACTTGCAAAACACACTGTAAATAGCACTTTAAGTCGAAGAACTGAAAACAGAAATTATAAATAAACACTTTTAGAATACATCATTTGTGAAGATATACTGGGCAGGGTTACATGGGGTAAGTTTAAATATCCCTTGAAATAGGACAGGAGAAGACTTTGTATGTGAAACAGTGGTATGTTTATGTAACAAAATCAGATTTTTTATGGTAAGAAAGTTCCATTTCACATCTGAATTATAGCTTGGTTTGCACTCATGTCATGAAAGTTAAATGTTTTTGTATTGTCTAAGCCAGTTTCTCTAGTTTAATTTGATGTGTGAAATGTATGCTGGTTCAAACATACATGATCTAGCAATGTCACGACTGGAGAGGACAGGGTGGTTTGTAAAACACAGCGTAACGTGGCTGACCAAAGGACAACAGGCCCTAGATTTCTTGCATAAACCTAACTAAGTGAAGGTTTAATTGTCAACAAAAATTAAACATCATCTGCAGCTTACACAGTGTTACATGTCTAATATGTTTTGGTTTAAATGATTAGGCCAAATATCATTGTTATTTCCTGTTTATGTGAAAATAAAAAATGTACCTCAAACAATTTTATTAGAACTCGTCACCTGTAATAGTTGGGCAAGCTGTAAAACGAGAATTCTCTTGTGTTTTACACAAACCATTGCTCTAAAAACAAAAGTGGATGTCTTACACAACAGTTTGAAAGGAATCACACAAACAGTTACAGAGGCAGACACAGAAAGTCCAAATTTGATATCGTACATTTCGTTTAACTTTCAGGTAGAGGTGTGCGCGGGACTGTTTTTTCAGTCCCGTTCCCGCCTGCTGTTCATCTCCCTCCCGCGGAAAATCAGAATCATTTGTCCCACTCTCGCCAGGGCAGCTCCGTCAAGGCAAAGTGACATCCAATGTCTGACATAGTCTAATCACAAATTTATTATTCTCTGCTGATGTAACACGGCAGTCACGGTCATCAGGCTCACTGTGAGTAACTTTACCAAACGCCATTTATTCCCAGTGAACACAAAGCAAGAATTAAACCACAGAGTGGTTATTTTTGGTCTTTTGCCAGACAGCCGTGGCCATCAGACTGAAGGCTCCGCTGTCTCTGTAAGCTACAAGAATTTGCATATTCTTCACATGAACGGTTGCTTTGCTCTTCACTCTTTAGAAGGACTTTGTTCATTTTAATTGTTTTACTGATTTATGTTGTTTATATATATGATTTAGTGATCTTTCTACTTTATTTAGGCTATTCTTTCATTTGCGGGATTTCTCTTCATGTGTGCTGCGTCCCACTCCCGCCTGCAGTGGGCTGGTTTCCCACCTGCTCCCACGTGCAACGCTGAAAATTAGTCCCGCGCCGCTAGATATTGTGGCAAGTCCAGCGGGAATCTGTGGAAGTGCAAACCTCTACTTTCTGGTAATAAATATGAATTAAGACTTTGAAGTTATGTAATTTTGTGAAAGAAAAAGAGAATGACTACATACAAAATATATACAAACACAATTAATTCCTAAACAATTTGCCACAGGAAACGAAACAAAATACTATAAGAAAAGTATTAGTACAATTCCTGCTGAGTCTTTTAGGTCAAGGATGCAACTGCTAGTGGAGCTCTTATACTTGTTGTACTGAACCCATAAGGCATGTTAGAAAACAAAAGAAAAAGAAGAAATTCACTTTGAACCAAACAACATTCTTCATGTAGGGCACTAGGCTCTAACAGTTCTTTGTTCTTCCATTGCTCTTATAGAAACTGTGCTGTACTTGTGGTTCTGTGTTCATGATGTTCATGACCAGTGAGTGCTTACAGACTGCATTTGGCTCATTTAGATCGGCCAATGCCAGTTCAAGAAGTACTGACAAAAACAAGCAATGCACAGAACCAAACTGTCAGCTTAGCAGATACTGTGATATTGTGTCGGAAATGTAGATGTGTTACTGGTGGATCCTTTTAGAAACGCATGGTGGACACTAGTACAATATCATTACAGTTAAGCTTTATTACTAAGTCATTACAATGTTCTAATTAGTAACTAGGATGGAACCAATATGTAGGTTTCACAGTTAAGAGAGGGGCTAAAACAAAATACCTTCTGTATGTGGTTAAACTTTAACTGCAAAAGTAATGTTAGCAGTGCTAGTATATAGCAAACGGTTTTGTTAAATGTAATCATTTTAGGTCCATAGAAGAGATAATAATTAATAATATGATTTGCACTGATGCACTACTGAGCACCTCAGTCTAAATCATTCTCAGACAAGACCAAGCTGCAGATTTCTGCAGTGCAATTTAAGACCGTTAAACACTGAATGCTACACAAATAAACAACAGAAAAATCTGCAACACAACAGCATTCGCATCACGAAAGACAGAAAAGTGGGCAGAAAGTCTTTAAATGAAGAAATAATTTTAGCTAGCGCTTCACAAAAGGGCAAACAGTTACATAGGCTATTTTCTTCACAGATGCTAAAAACAGATGTGATGAAGCAATCCTAATCCTTACGACATCTGTGCATCTTTTAGCTCGGTTGTTGTCACGCCAAGACCAGAGACTAGCATACTTGGTCAAGTAAGTTCATTTTGCAAAAATTCAACAAATATTAAAAATTATGCGTCCTTCCACAAAATTGTTTTGGGTATGGAAGATATCATAAATGACGCTGTCAACTTAGTTTATTGACACCTGAATAAACTGCACAAATAACACATATTTGCAAATGTACCATATCATTTTGTTTTCAGGCCTACAGGGAATTTAAGTTTGCTATACATTTCAATAAATTATGTGTGACACAGTCAGTTCAAAAGTAATTAATCATATCTCATAAAATAATAATTTTCCCTATATGTTTATCTGGCTAAACAATTAGCTGGGTTGCTTATTCTCTGCTTAGAAGTGATGCAGTGAACAGGCTGAATAGTGACAAAATGTATAATAATGTGAGGTTCCTAAACAAAACATTCAGATTTGCATAAGATTTACTGGGTCAACTTTCCAAAAGAGAGCATTTTTACACTGCATAACGTTTCTGTAGAAACAGTAAAGGAAAAGCCACTAAAGGTTCATGTTTTTTTTTTTTCATTTGTTTGGTTCCACTGAACATGGCTGTTATTGGACCACAGTCTCCCAGGTGGTCATCTTCCTTGAACAGGAGGCAAATATAAGTTCTTGCATTTCCATAACTAGGGATCATTCCACACATCACCATCTGACACAGTGGAGCCTCTGACCGACCTCTGTATCTTCTTCGTGTTAAGGGAGGCTGCAGGATGCTGCAAGCTACAAATTCATCTTTCCTGGTGGAGGCAGATTTAAAGGAGTACTGTTATCCTGAGTCTAATGTGTCTTGTGTAAAAAGCTCTTACAGTGTAACCTCTAGATCTGTGTTATATGTGTTACTGGTGTTGGCGATGTCAGTGACCATTATAGGGAACTCAGTGGTCATCATCTCCATTGCGCATTTCAAGCAACTGCACACACCCACCAACATGCTGGTGATGTCTCTAGCCCTGGCGGACCTGTTGCTGGGTGTGATTGTTATGCCGTTCAGCATGATCCGATCTGTGGATGGGTGCTGGTACTACGGAGAAGCCTTCTGCTTATTGCACTCTAGTTTTGACATTTTCCTCACCTCTGCATCGACCTTTCACCTGATGTGCATTGCTATAGACCGATATCAGGCTGTGTGCCATCCGCTTCAGTACCCAACAAGAATAACCATACCTACTGCATGGCTGATGGTAGCTCTGAGCTGGATTACAGCCGCAGTGTATTCCTACGGTCTCATGTATTCAAAAGCAAATGTAGAAAGTCTAGATGAGTACATTAAATCAATTTCTTGTATGGGAACTTGTAACCTTGTGTTTAATGCACTGTGGGGGCCTCTGGATGCATTGTTATGTTTCCTTTCACCTTGCACAGTCATGTTTTGCTTGTATGCTCAAATTTTTTTGGTTTCGAAAAGACATGCAAGGAAAATCGAGGGAACAAAGCAGAGCAAAAATGAGACGAGCTTAAACAGGGTTTCTCAAAGCATGAAACGTGAGAACAAGGCAGCGAAAACCCTCGGCATTGTTGTAGGTACGTTCATTTTTTGCTGGATGCCGTTTTATATCAACTCTCTAATGGAACCTCACATTAACTTTTCCACTCCTGTGGTACTTTTTGAAGTGTTTGTCTGGTTGGGTTACATTAACTCAACTTTAAATCCCTTAATATACGGCCTCTTCTACCCGTGGTTCAGGAAATGTCTCTATCTCATTGTTACACTGAGAATATTTGCTCCTCATTCCTCTGACACCAATGTATTTGCAGGTTAAAAGCATTTAACATCTCAAATGGAATTCATTAATGGTTTAAACCACATTTGAACTTAATTTCTGGAAAGGAATTAATATAGAAGGTCCATCAGTTCAGTTTTTCCTAGAGCAGATATGTTAGGAATTTTTCCACCTATTTATTCTAGAAAACCTTGTTCTCTGATACATACACCTGATACAGGTGGGCTATTGTTCTGTTCTCATTACAGAAAATTATACACTGTGAAAATCATCCAAATCCATGTTATTCTAGAGGAACTAACAGAAGGCCTTGAAGATGCTTTCGCTACTTTTTCAGCTCCAGTCTTATTTTATCTTAAGACAATTAAAAAGAGAATTGAATCATTATAAACTATTGTACCGTCACTGTCCAAAAAAAACCCTTCTTTATTTTCAATGTAAGTTAATGTAAAGACATTTTATTCAGAGTAGTTTTGGAGCATTTCTACTGGTCCATTCATAATGGATTTTTTACACAATGTAAAAGCTGCCAAGTTCAAATGATGAAGAAAAGTGAAAATCCAAAAAAGTGGAGATACATGTTTTTTTGGACAGTGCGATATGTTTCTAAACTATTTTGTATTGATTACTTTTTCCACATGAGATGAGTGACAGCTACAACCGTGTTTACAAAAAAGCTGGGACACTGTGCAAAATGTAAATAAAACAGAATGCAATGATGTGCAATTCATTTAAACTCTATATTTATCTGAAAATAGTACAAAGACAACATATCACATGTTGAAACTGAGAAATTATTATTGTTTTTTTATATATATATATGCCCGTTTTAATTTGATGCCTTATCCCTAGCTCCGGGTGGTCATCCCCATCCACCAGAAAAAACAGCCCCCAGTCCCCTGTACAATGTATCTGTCAGCAAGATAAAAGGGAGAGCAAAGTCAGGTGAGTTCAATAGTAGACCTCCACAAAGCACTGCTTTAACTTGAGTAAAAACCTGCTGACACTGCTCCATCTACTGGACTGGATCTGGTGCCCCCTTTTTAGTGATATCAGTCAGTGGGCTGGTGACGTCCAAATAATTAGAAACAAACGTGTTATAAAGCCAGCCAACCCCAGAAACTGTCTCACCTCCTTTTTGGTCTTGCTTCTCAGACAGGTCGCAATCTCATGAGTCTTATCAATTTAGAGACGCACCTGTCCATGACCCAAATGGAAGCCCAGACACAGTACCACCACCTATCCAATAGCACACTTCATCAGGTTTGCTGTGAGCCCTGCCTATCTCAAGGACTCAAGAACAGCCCTCAGATGCCATACATGTTGCTGCCAGTCATTGCTATAAATATCCAAATAAGATTACGAATAACTTTATTGTCATTGTACAAGTACAATGTGCACTTTGCTATAAAAATTACACTAAAATAAAAATAAAATAGAATAAGATAACATAAAATAGAGATAGACAGCACATTTACAGAAGAACAAATATGTAAGGTGCAATCCAGCCTTAGGTGCATGTGGACACACCTGTGGTGTGAGTATGTGCATATTCTGGAGTGGGCGGTGGGGGTGGTAGAATAGTTCAGGATGGAGCACCATGGCTGGGATTTTGCAGTACAAAAGTGACCACATAGCTATAGTCAGTAGCAGATGCCGACAGTCAGGTAATGTAGCAGCTTCACATTGTATCTAATGCTATGTAAATTGAACAATGTGCAAAGGTATACTATACCATACCATAATATGCAATACTATACTGTAATATAATAGATACTGTTCTATTCTACTCTAGGCATATCACACCTACTATACTACACATAATATGTAAGTGAACAATGTGCAATATTAATTAGTAGTTGAAATGTAGTTAGTAAGAAAGTGGTCAGAGCTGACATTGGTCAGTGGAGTTTATTGTGGTGTGTAGAAGTGAAGATCCTGAAGTCTGATTAAGGAGGATTATTGCTCTGGGGAAGAAACCATTCCTCAGTCTGGCAGTACGGGCGCTGATGCACCTGTATCGATGTCCAGAGGGCAGTAAAGAGCTAGGTGGCAGGGGTGTGTTGGGTCATTGCGGATAGTCGTGGCTCTGCAGAGACATTGGGAATTGTAGAGCTCCTCCTCTCTGCACTGTTGACTCTCTGGGGTGGTGTAGCTGGTGTGTTATCCTTTTTTTGTTGGGTCTTTTCTCAAATGCTTTGGGGGTGGTTGATATTCCTGCCCTCTATGGGGGCTCTAGAGTAGTATTAATAGAGGAAGCCAAACAGGAAGTCTTGTCTGACCAAGCACACATACTCTCTGCCTGGAATCTCCTTGGTGGGAAACTCATTGTTTTCATGCTCACTGTAACTGCTTTTATTCTATTCCTGATGGTGCACTGTTGCCTTTTTAAATCAACATGCAATTGCAATATCCAGCTTTGTTGCAGTTATAGGCTGTGCTAAGCTAGCGCTAATACTAAGCTAAAGCTAAAAATGCTAAGCTAAAGCTATTTTTGTAACTAAAGTTGGGTTTGGTGTGGGTTTTTTTATACGCTGTAATCATCTTTACATGCAGGAGTTTTTTGAACTTATATAATACATGGACTGGTTTATCGCTGGAGGACTGTGAGGAGTTTCAGACTTAGTTTCAGACTTTGATAAACCTCCCTTTCTACCCCAAGGCCTTCCATCTTTGTTCTCCCAGTTACTAGCTATTTCTACTTCTTCAGGTTAAATGTCATTGCCACATCAAAGACTTCTGACTTTAGCAGTCTGTACATAGCCTTTGTGTATATAGAATTTGTGGGTGGGTTTTCTGGGGTGGGAGTTTGTTTTATTGTTTGTGGGGTTGGTTCGTTGGTGGGGTGGTCGAACATTTGCATCAGGGGTTAAAGCTTTGAATTTATGGCCTTTTTTTTACATCATAACTTGGTAAAGACTATTGATTAGACCTGTTTGTTGTACCGGGTCTTCCTTTGAACTCCTCTCTGGCTGCTTTTATACATCTACACATATCATAGGTTGTCCCTACCCTTAAGTTTATGTAGCTATTTTTTCTAGAGTGTTCTCTAGGAGGTTAGTTACACAGTGGCGCCCAAACAGGGACCCTATATTTCTATTGTATTTACTCTTGTTTCCTATGGCAGCCTGTCAGCCGGAGGCAGTGGAGGGATCTTCACCCACACTGGATTTTACCATGGGACCATTTGTCATTTGAAGGGATGGGGTCAGCGAGATCATCTTAGTCATTTGTACATAGAGTCTAATTAGGTGGGGGTGGAGGAGAGTTCTGCAGCTGAGCAAGGGGATGTTCCAGAATGGCCACTGCTCCCTCCACCCCCACCTCCTGAGGATGGCAGTTAGTTCAGTCTGGCCAAATGGCAGGCTATGGCCATTTGGCCATACAGGCTATGGAAGAGGGAGTTTACAGTCTTGAATCCAAACTCCAAGTGATGCACAGTTACACGGATGACACCATGGCAACCAGGGAGGAAATTAAATCCATGAGGACAGAGCTTGAACAGAATGACAGTAATTGAGGAGCGGCTTCTCATGTTCTCATGCTTTTTGATTTGATGCCCATTGCTTCTACCCCACTTCCATATGCCCATCCTATGCATCATATCACTGGAGCTCAACAACCTCAACCAAGTTCTGTTGGTGACAGTCCATCCAGCACTCATCTAAGGCCACCCATCAAGCTAGAATTCCCCAGGTATAAAGATGAAGGTGAAGAGCAAGACCTTGTAGCATTCATCAAAAAATGTGAGGAGTTTTTGGCTGTCTGACCATTAAGTGATCCAGAGGCGATGACTGCCCTCACCTCTGTGTTATCAGGCATCGCCAAAGATTGGTGGAAATCTGAAAAGATATCAGTGAGGACCTGGGCTCAGTTCAAGCAAGCCTTTCTCAGGTCTTTTCTGTTAGAGGACCATGAGGCCGAGGCAGAAAGGCAATTAAGAGACCAGAGACAAGGTATCCGTAAGAGCATCCGGGATTTTGTCTTCCAGTAGAGGGCCCTGTGTCTTAGGTAGAGAGAGGACATGACTGAAAGAGAACTGCTGCAGGCCATACTAAGGAACTGTAATGCACGGCTGACAAGTTTGTTAAGAGGGACTGTTAAGTCAGTGGATGAGTTGGTGAGGATTAGGACACTGGTGGAAAGGGATCTGCCTGGTGCAAAAAGCTATTGGAACTAAACTCAGCATGATGCTGCAAGAAATACATCTCAGACCTCCAAAGCCACCAAGAAAGGCCTAACCCAGAACCCAGGACATGCTAGGGTGCTCCAACATGTTCCACCTCAGGCCAGAACCTTAACATTACCACTCCATTTGAGGGAAAAGGAAGTTGCAGCCATGGTAGACAGGCAGTGCCTACTTTTTATTTAAAGAGTCCTTTTGGGAAATGCCGAAGGAAAATCATAAGATATGAAGGAAAGGAAGAGCGCAGAACTTTCTGCTTGCCAGTGGGCAATCTCAAGCTGCTAAAGGGGTGGTTGAGCTTGACAGTCAACTACATACTTATCAATTGCGCCAACCTTTTTGCATCATGAGCAACAAGGACTTGGCATTTCCTCTCACTGTTTGTCTGGACTTCCTGCATTCCTCTGGCATCAATCTTAACTTTCAGAATGCCACCTATTCCCTTCCTGGAGTTTTCACATCCTAGTTTTACATGACCAACAACTTCAATTACAAGCAACCTTCCCACACAGTAATTATGCACCTATATATTGCCCAGAATGTGACTGAACCACTTGATCCAGAGTTACCGGAACAGATAGAAACTTAAGTGGCCAAGGCAGATGCCACAGACCAGCACAAACAACAGCTGGAAGAGCTGTTGCACCAGTGGAACTCCGTGTGCTCCAACAAGCTGGGGAGGGCAACGGTTGTCCTTCATCCCATAACTATCATTGATGAACTTCCTATTCAACAAAGGCCATACTGGGCTCCAATGGAAAAACAGCAGTTCATTAAGGAGGGTATAGGCAATATGCTTAAGAAAGGCATAATCCGACTATCCACATCACTGTGGATCGCACCTGTAGTGCTGATTCCTAAGAAGGATGGAAACGCAAGATTTTGCATGGACTATTGACGTTTATCTTATGCCACAAGTGCAGGAGATTCTGGAGTCACTCCATGGAGCTACTGTTTTCAGTACTCTTGACCTCAAGAGCAAATACTGGCAGGTCAGTCTTGAGCGAGACAGCATCCAGAAGATGCCATATGTCAAGGTTTATTTGAGTTACTGGCTCCTCCTTTCAGCCTCAAGAATGCTGCTTAGTCATTTCAGCGTCTGATGGAAACTGTCTTGCAGGACCTAAAAGGAGAATCATGCTTTGTCTACATTGATGATATGGTGGTCTTTTCTGCCTCTATCAAACAACCCCTTTACCCCCTGCAGGAAGTGTTTGAGCATCTCCACTGAGCTGGGATGGCACTGAAACTGAAGAAATGCAACCTGTTGTAAAGGTCTCTTGTCTTTTTGGGCCATGTGATTTCTAAAGAGGGCATACGCACAGAGCCAGCAAGGTGGTAGCCATACAACTTTAAAGCTTTGATTTCTCCATCCGTTACCGATAAGGCAAGTGCAATTTAGTCCCTGACACTCTCTCCTGCATCAAACCAAGACAAGAAGTGGGTCTCATCGCCACACACCAGGTGACTGACTCATTGGTGGATGACTTACCGGTGGAATGGGCTGAAATCAGCAGCGCACAAGAAGAAGATGCTGACCTTAAGCCTATCAGAGTGGAAGATGAACACCTAAAGCCAGGAGAAGACCAGATTTATTTTGTGTTGAGTAATGGCATTCTATTCCAGGCTGTGGATTTTATGGGTCCACTGCACAAGAGCCCACATCAAAACGAACATCTACTGGTCAACGTAAACTATTGTAGCAAATGGGTGGAGATGTTCCCTCTGCGTACAGCTAAGACACCTGCAATCATCCATATTCTGATCAATGAGGTATTCACATGATCGTACCTGGTGTCGGATCGAGAAGCACAATTTACCTTTCACCTGCTTCATTTCACTTGTCAACAGTGTAGTGCAAAAACTCACTATGGTTTATCACCCTCAAACTAGCCTGACAGAACAGATAAACCACACCCTTAAAACCATGACTGCAGCATATGTCAGTGCCAAGAACCAACTGTGGGACCAGTTGCTGCCAGAGTTCCATTTTGCTATCAACACCGATTGGCAAGAGAGTACAGGTTTCACTCTGGCTGAGGTGGCCTTGGGTAGGAAACTTAATGGCCCTTTGACAGGTTTTTGAGCCAAGCACCAAACCCTGGGCATATGGCCTACAAAGTCATCCAGAGACAACAGGACCTTCTCCAGCAAGTTCAGGAGAATGTGGCGAGAGGTCAAAAACTACAACCACCACTGGAAGACGGTGGATTTCCGAGAGGGAGATCTAGTTTGGGTGAAGTCACATCCACTGTCTCGGGCTGATGCCGGGTTTGCTACAAAGCTGGCAGAAAAGTGGAAAGGGCCTGCCTGAATTGTATAACAGCTTAATCAAGTCAATTATCAGGTGTTCCCAATGAACCCATTCAGGTTGATACTGTTCACATAGAGAATCTCAAACAATACTATGGTCGGGCCAGGTCACCTCTTAAGGAGGGGGTATGTAACCAAATTGGTTATCATTTTTTGTTGGGTCTTTTCTCAAAGCTGTGTGCAGCCCCCCAATGCATACACCCAGGAACTTGAAACTGGGAACTTTTCCTACCATATCATCATTGATGAAGAGTGGAGCGTGTCCATCCATGCCTTTCCCGAAGTCGAGGATGAGCTCCTTGGTCTTGCTGGTGTTAAGAACTAGGCTGTGGTCTGAACACCACTTGGACAGGTGCTGTACTTCCTCTCTGTAGGCAGACTCGTCAATGTCCGAGATCAGCCCTATCACTGTGGTGTCGTCTGCATACTTGATTATGGTATTTGTATTGTGGACAGGAACGCAGTCATAGATGAAGAAAGAGTACAGGCATGGGCTCAGTACACGGCCTTGAGGAGCACCAGTGTTCAGTATCAGTGGGGAGGACTGGTATGTCGCCAGCCTGACTGCCTGGGGGCGAATGGTCAGAAAGTCCAGTATCCAAGTACAGAGGTGTTGACTAAGGCCCAGGTTGTGAAGCTTGGAGGCCTATTTTTGGGGGATTATTGTGTTGAATGCGTGCACTGAAGTCAATAAACAGCATTTGAACATATGTGTTGGGGTGCTCAAGGTGGGATAAGGTGTTGTGAAGGGCAATAGGAGTGAGTGCGACCGGACAGAAGTCATTGAGGCTTTTCGTGACTGTTTTCTTTGGTACAGGAACAATGGTTGCAGTCTTAAGGCATTTAGGAGCGGGTCTGTAGGTAGGAGTGAAGAACAGGGAGATGTGATCTGATTGCCCCAGGGTGAGATAAACCATCAGTAGTTGATTAGTGGTTCCTGCCCCCCACATTTGCTGCCATGTGAGCCTCTGCCATGAACGCAAAAGGCCAGTTGAACTCTCAGAGTATTAGTGAGTGGAATCACTGCCGGTGCTGCTCGGGGGTCTGGCCCACAAGCTGGAGAATGGCTTTCTTCAGCTCTGTGTACTTCAGCTGTGAATGCAGTGAGAGCTGCTGAGTGGCCAGCTGAGCCTCCTCAATAAGAAGGGGAAGCAGTTGAACTGCCTAGTCCTTCTCGTTCCACTGACTTGTGCAGCAAGCTCCGCACCATTTTCCGATCCTTCTCCTGTCTTTTCACTAGGGCCTCAAAATGGCTCTGTTGTTTGTGGAAGGAGGGCTTGATGGTGGCTCTGCTGAATTTGAGTGAAGGTTTTAATAAAAAAAAAAACACTATGTTTGGAGAATACAGCTCTAATCAATAAGCAAATCAAGTGTCTGTCGTCAGTCTTGATGTTTAGGCTAAGCTTTTCATTCAGATGTTAGGTTTCTCTGCTGCCTCTGTTCCTCTCTCCCAGCTCTCTCTCTCTAATGAGCCCAGTGTGTTCTCATTGGTCAGCTCACCCACACTGTTCAGACTGGTCAACTGCCAGAGTGGCTCTTTCCACCAAACACTGTAATGATTTTGAAGGCAAAGCAGAGCTTGAAAATTAATGGTGCATAAAAAGAAACAACACAGGAGTTCGCCTACAGACAAGCATGCCAGTTTTCAGTGTAATCAATCTATCTTTACTCATAAACTTCAGATAATTTATTATCATTGATAAACCGAACAAATAATTTTGCATTGTTTTCAAGCAGTGTTTCACTTCAGAAATCATCATCAAATCTCCAGTAGATTTCACTTTAGTTTTGTGCTGAGCTGAAAGACTTTCTGTGTCTTTCATGATGTGAATGCTATTGTGTTTCAGATTTGTGTGTTGTTTATTTGTGTTGCATTCTGCATTTAATTGTCTTAACTTGCATTGAAGAAATGAGAAAATGACAAGTGTCACATGATTCCCTGGAGAATTTTGGGAGTTGGAGTCTGTGTAAGGACTGGTGTGCTGGGTATTATGGACTACAAGGCCGGAAGAAGGCGTGGTCAATCCATAAAGGAAAAGTGCACTAAAGGTTCATGTTTTGTTTTCATTTGTTTTGCTTAGCTGAGCATTGCTGTTATTGGACCACAGTGTCCCAGGTGGTCTTTTTCCTTGAACAGGAAACAAATATAAGTTCTTGCATTTCCATAACTAGGGATCATTCCACACGTCACCATCTGACACAGTGGAGCCTCTCTAAGACTGACCTCTGTATCTTCTTCGTGTTAAGGGAGGCTGCAGGATGCTGCAAGCTACAAATTCATCTTTCCTGGTGGAGGCAGATTTAAAGGAGTACTGTTATCCTGAGTCTAATGTGTCTTGTATGAAAAGCTTTTATAATGTAACCTCTAGATCTGTGTTATATGTTTTACTGGTGTTGGCGATGTCAGTGACCATTCTGGGGAACTCAGTGGTCATTATTTCCATTGCGCATTTCAAGCAACTGCACACACCCACCAACATGCTGGTGATGTCTCTAGCCCTGGCGGACCTGTTGCTGGGTGTGATTGTAATGCCGTTCAGCATGATCCGATCTGTGGATGGGTGCTGGTACTACGGAGAAGCCTTCTGCTTATTGCACTCTAGTTTTGACATGCTCCTTACCTCTGCGTCTATTTTCCACCTGATCTGCATTGCAATAGACCGATATCAGGCTGTGTGCCATCCGCTTCAGTACCCAACAAGAATAACCATACCTACTGCATGGCTGATGGTAGCTCTGAGCTGGATTACAGCCGCAGTGTATTCCTACGGTCTCATGTATTCAAAGGCAAATGTAGAAAAACTAGATGAGTACATTGAATCAATATATTGCATGGGAAGTTGTAACCTTTTGTTTAATGCACTGTGGGGGGCTCTGGATACATTGATAGGCTTTCTTTTGCCTTGCACAGTCATGTTTTGCTTGTATGCTCAAATTTTTTTGGTTTCAAAAAGGCACTCGAGGAAAATCAAGGGAACAAAGCAGAGCAAAAATGAGACGAGCTTAAACAGGGTTTCTCAAAGCATGAAACGTGAGAACAAGGCAGCGAAAACCCTCGGCATTGTTGTAGGTGCATTTATTTTTTGCTGGATGCCGTTTTTTGTCAACTCTCTAATTGATCCTTACATTAACTTCTCCACTCCCATGGTAGTTTTTGAAGTGTTTGTCTGGTTGGGCTACATTAATTCAACTTTAAATCCCATAATATACGGCCTCTTCTACCCGTGGTTCAGGAAATGTCTCTATCTCATTGTTACACTGAGAATATTTGCTCCTCATTCCTCTGACACTAATGTATTTGCAGCTTGAAAGCATTTAACAACTCATATGGAACTCATTAAACTACATTCCTTTCTGGAAAGGAATTAGTACAGAAGGCCCATCAGTTCAGTTTTTCCTAGAGCAGACATGTTAGCGATTTTCCTACCTATTTATTCTAGAAAACCTTGTTTACCTTGTTACATACAAATCTTGTTATATACACCTGATACAGGTGGGCTATTGTTCTGTTCTCATTACAAAAATTATACACTGTGAAAATCATCCAAATCCATGTTATTCTAGAGGAACTAACAGAAGGCCTTGAAGATGCTTTTGCTATTTTTTCAGCTCGTCTTATTTTACCTTGAGACCATTAAAAAAAAAAAAAACATTGAATAATTATAAACTATTATATTGTCACTGTCCGAAAAAAAATTTCAACGTAAGTTAATGTAAAGAGATTTTATTCAGAGTAGTTTTGGAGCAATTCTACTGGTTTACTTACTTTACTTTACACAATGTAAAGAACAGCTGCCGTGTTCAAATGATGTTCAAAAGAAAAGTGAAAATCCCAAAAAGTGCAGATACATGGGTTTTGGACAGTGACAATATGTTTATAAACTATTTTTTATTGATTACTTTTTCACATGAGATGAGTGACAACTACAACCGTGCTTCCAAAAATTTGGGACACTGTGCAAAATGTAAATAAAAACAGAATGCAATGATGTGCAATTCATTTAAACCCTATATTTATCACATGTTGAAACTGAGAAATTATATTGTTTTATATATATATATATATATATATATATATATATATATATATAACAATATACATTTTAATTTGATGCCACCAACACTTTTCAAAAAAGTTGGGACAGGGGCATGTTACCACTGTGTTACATCACCTCTTCTTTTATCAACACTCCATAAGCGTTTGAGAACTGAGGAGACACTGCTGTAGTTTTGAAAGTAAAATGTCACTATAATGAGCTGCCTCTACTTTCAAATCTTCCATGTTGCAAGAATGCCAAAGCAAAAGTAATATCTGACAGAGCAGCTGTGATGATGTCTGGTGAGGAAAGCCAACTGTTGGAGCAGAGGGAGAGAAAGGCAACTAAATCTCTGGCCATTGTTATGGGGGGTTTTCGTGTTGTGCTGGCTGCCATTTTTCCTTGCCGCTGTAATCGATTCGTTCCTTGGCTTCTAAATTTCTGTTGATGATTTTGATGCCTTAGTGAATTGGCTATTTCAGTTCCATTTCAACCCTCTTATCTATGGCTTTTTCTATCCATGCGTCCAGACAGCATTTAAGATTATCATATTGTGATACCCTCGTGGGTGGATGAGGAAGGAATACGTCCGAGGCAGTTGTGAAGGGACAGAGACATGTCATTATATGACTCATGATAGAACAAAAAACGCTAGGCTTGGAACATACAGCTCACATCAATAAGCAAAATCAAGAGTCGGTTGTCAAGCTTATCGTTCAGGCTAAGCAAGTCATTCAGACCTCAAGTTTCTCTGCTGCCTATGTTCCTTTCTCCCAGCTCTCTCTCTCTACTGAGGAAAGAAGGGCAAGGTGCACACGCTTACCACTCAGCCTGCCCACTTACCTAAACCAGCCCTTCGCCTCACAGACAGTGCATGACCATGCCCCCACTGCCACATACCCACACTGCCCCACTCGGGCTGGGTAGCCATCCAGCTAGCAGCAGATATCCTCCCCACCAAGGCGGGAGAGGAAATCTGCCACCAGCATCTTGGACCCCAGCCTGTGGACCACCTCGAACTCAAAGGGCTGCCAGGCCAGATAACAGCAGGTGATATGGGTGTTGGCATCTTTCATGCAGTGGAGTCACTGGAGCTTAGCATGATTCGTACAAACACCGTCCAGATGCTTGTTCTGTTGCTGTGTTGTGACCGGTAGTAGCTTGTCTAGCGCTAGCTTAGCATTAGCTTGTGGTGGTATGTAAACAGCAGTGATAATCACAGTGAAGTCTCAAGGCATGTAGAACAGTCTGCATCTGAGCATTAAAAAACCTGCCTTTGTTCTTAATGGAATTTGTGGTTTGATCTGCCCATTGTAGTGTTTGACCTGCTAGCTTGAGCGCTGCATCTGGCCTAACAACGGCACTAGCAGCAGCCAACCAAACGAGCAATTCGTCAATATGTGGCATAAGCACTTAATTTAGACACAGCATTGACTTTTCCATGTTCTAACAGGATCAAACAGCCCCATCAGGCTTGGGAACAAGTACCACAAGGCTGCTCCAATCACTGCTCAACTTCTATATTACTCTCATATGAAGCATTGCCTTAAGTTCCTCCTGAACTACTTTTTTCTTGTGTTCAGGTAATCTATAGGGATGGCTGCAAACAACTATGTGAAAGCACATCTGAAAACTCTGCTTGCAACCTGGCGACCTCTGTTTTCTGGAGAAGCAAGAGCTGGTCACCATATGGAACCAGAGTGTGTTTGTTCTGCGAACCTCCAGTCCCAACTCCGCCCTCTCTTTTTGGGACAGCCATCACCAGAGCAGCAAGGATCACCTCTCTCCATGGTTTAAGGAGGTTGAGGTGGTATATCTTTAGTGAATTATCTCTGTCAGACTGTTTTATCATATAGTCAACCTTTCCGACTTGTCGTGTGACCTCAGGGGGTCCTTGCCACTTGACAAGTAATTTTGAGCTCAATGTAGGAAGTAAAATGCATGATTTCTCTCCTTGTGTAAATTCCTTGTATGTGCATGTCTGCCGTTCTTAAGCTCTGAGCAAATTCCATTTGTTGATGGTACACACTGTTACAAATTGATTTAATACCCAGTAATTTATACAGGTCATGTAATGTGCGTGACATAAAAGTGGTGCCCTGGTCAGTTAGAATCTTAACTTGGGAGATAATGCCGAATGCTGAGGGGATAGAACCGGCGATCTTCCGGTCACTTTTTTCCAGTTCTGGCGGCGCGACGGGTAGCTGCAGTGGCCACTTTGGGAACAGCAAAATGTTGCCTTTTTTGCTGTTTTTTTGTCTACTATCTGTCGTGTAACCCAACCAAAACTATATATCATGACTGCGTCAACCAGCACCAGTGTCTACCATCGCCAGAGCTGAGAAATCAGCCTCAATCTCAATCTCTACTTCCAAACGAACTGCGGGAAGAGCTGCGCAAGCTAGGCCTGCTAAGATCCACGGCGCTGTGTGAGCCTGCTGGCCGAAAGCGATGTGCGAGAAGGCGGAAGCGAGGCAAGCGAGGTGGGGTGCGCGCTAGGCTAACGGCTAACCCCAGACGACCTGCCGTTCCATCGCTTCTTCTATCTTCTTCGTTTGTTCCTTGGAGAATAAACTGGACTACCTCCGGATTCAGTGAGCTACCCAGCGTGAGTTCAAAGACTGCTGTTTTTCGTTTTTACAGAGACATGGATGACGAGCTCCACTCCGGACTTAGCCATTCAGCTCGATGGCCTGTTGTGTTTCTGTGTGGACAGAGACACTGAGCTGTGCGGTAAGACTCGAGGTGGGGGACTGTGTGTTTACATCAGCACTGAATGATTTAAAAACACGACGCTAGTCTCTAGTCACTGCTCACCGCTGGTAGAGTTTGCAATTATCAGAGCCAGGCCATTTTATTTGCCAAGAGAGCTAAATACGATGTACATAGTAGCAGTGTACATAGCTCCCAGTGCTAATGCTAATGCCGCACTGAATGAGCTGTACAGTGCTATCAGCGATCTGCAAAACACACCCAGACGGACTGTTTATTGTTACTGGAGATTTCAACCATGCAAATCTGAAGTCAGTGCTCCCCAAATTTCACCAGTATGTGTACTTAACAACCCGGGGGGCGAACGTGCTGGATCTTGTTTACACAAACATCCCCGGTACGTATAGGGCTGAGCCCCGCCCCCACTACGGCTACTCAGACCACATCTCTGTGATGCTTATTCCAGCGTACAGACCGCTCATCAGACGTGCCAAACCAGACCAGAAGTATGTGAGAACCTGGCCGCCAGGAGCTATCTCTGCTCTTCAGGACTGTTTTGAGCACACTGACTGGGAGATGTTCAGAGAAGCAGCAACCTCCGGTGACTCCATCAACCTGGAGGAGTATACAGAATCAGTGACTGGCTACATCAGCAAGTGCATTGATGATGTTACTGTCTCCAAACTCGTCACAACTCACCCCAACCAGAAACTGGGCCATCAAAGAGGCAAAGCAAGCCTACTCAAAGAAAATCCATGAACATTTTCAAAACACTGCTGACACACGGCGCATGTGGCATGGCATCCAGGTCATCACCAATTATAAGTCACCTCCACCTGCTTGTGACAGTGACAGCCTCCCTTCCAGACGAGCTAAACAACTTCTATGCTCAGTTTGAAGCACAGAATGGCATGACGGCGAGGAAAACCACACCTCCTCCAAATGAACAGGTACTGTGTCTGTCCACTGCTGATGTGCAGAGAACTCTACACAGAGTCAACCCACGAAAAGCTCCAGGATCCGACAGTATACCAGGCAGAGTGCTCAGAGAATGCGCTGAACAGCTGGCTGATGTTCTCACGGACATATTCAACATCTCTCTGAGCACTGCAATCGTTCCAACGTGCTTCAAGTCCACCATCATCATCCCTGTGCCGAAGAAGTCTCCAGTGTCCTGCCTCAATGACTACCGTCCCATCGCACTCACTCCATCATCATGAAGTGCTTTGAGAGGCTTGTCATGAGGCACATTAAAGACCAGCTTCCTCCTTCACTGGACCCACTGCAATTTGCATATCGCCCCAACCGCTCAATAGATGACGCCATCTCCACCACACTCCACTGGCTCTCACCCACCTGCACAATAAAGACACCTATGTCAGAATGCTGTTGATAGACTTCAGTTCTGCATTCAACACCATCATCCCTCAGCAGCTGATTGGAAAACTGAGCCTGCTGGGCCTAAACACCTCCCTCTGTAACTGGGTCCTGGATTTCCTGACTGAGAGACCTCAGTTAGTCAGGATAGGTAATAACATCTCCAGCACCACCACACTGAGC